CGCTCTTATACTCTGAAGAAGGGGACAGTACATTACTCCGAAACTCGATGAACTTCTATCAAACTACACTGTGTCATATCCTAGACTACAACATTTCTTTATAATTAGGCTACTTAATGTTGCCGGTATCACCAAATTACTGACAACAGCGGAGCAGAGATATTCTTGAGAAGCTGGTAGTAGCTCATTTTCTCTAGAAATTCTCCTTACTTTTTGGAACCCTAAAATTCATTACTATGCTGACAAGAACAGTCGATACTGGATTCTATCTTGAAAATCTGAAATAAATTTATGCAATCACATGTTATTTTTAAGATACAATTTAATATTATCCTAACATATTCATAATGTGTGTATATACTAAGAGTCTTCAAGAGCATACAATCCCATCTACCACTTCTACACGAAAACAACACACACGTACACACACACATCCAACGATACAACGCACGCAGCCACAAGAGTAGAACACATCATAAGACATAGTGAGTACTAAACAGTATAATATTAACAACACGAAACCAATAGAAATCAAAACATAACATTAATATGTAACATTTTTTACGTTGCAGATATACACACACACATTAGAAACATAAGAAGAAAGACCCCGATGTGGATGATCAATAATACACACGAATTTAAAAATATGACGTATGAGATGATAAGTTTTAACAAGTTTTAAATACATAAACTTTATTATTATACTCGTATAAGGACGTATACAGGTTTAGTATTATTTGTAAATGGACGTATAAGGGCAAACAGTGAAATGGTTCACGGATCGATGTACCTGAAGATGGCAGGATACTGCCGAAACATGTAGTGTAGAAGTGGTAGATGGGATTGTATGCACTTGAAGACTGTTAATATATACACATTATGAATACGAATCAGTGCAACAGGACGCTAAAATACAACATAATTATCCTAACATTTGTTATATTTCTCTGCAGAGATTGTAAAAATGTACCTGTAATTTGAGTCTAATATGATAAGGAATTGTGAATAAGTAAGGATTGTAGTTTGCTGTGGCTTAGTAAGAAGTATTATCCTTTCTGGAAAACTGGGGAAAACCAAGAAATAATTCAATTAGGAGAATTCCCGAAAAGGCATGTGAATGTTAACACAGAGGAAACCTATTTGATATAATTAATTTTTAATTGTATCTTATTACTTTACAGGAATAATTTTGTGTCTGTTTGAAGCTAAAATTTCTTAAATTTATTGGCAGATTTTTTAATATAAGCAGGTCAATTCTGGGGGTTACTATGCAATGAATGCCATGAATAGCAACAATTCTCATGACTACACACTGTGCATCACACAGGGCGTCTCACACACACGTGAAGGGTCTGTATTAACAGTGCGTTCTTATAATGTCTCTTCAGACACCTATGTTCTGCATTTCGCACAAATGTACAGAGTGATTCTAAATTATTGCTGGGGTTTCCGTGGCCTATAAGCGGATACCCCGATAATAATTTAGAATCACTCTGTATTATCAAAATCGAGGCACTTCAAGTTTAGATGAATTGTTACTTTCGTACAGAGAGCTTGTAAGGCGAAATTTCAAAATGCGAATCACTCCTTCCCATAGGCACGATGTTATAATTGGATGCTACTTTTCAAACCGAAGTAAAAGTAAAGTAAGTAAAGTTATCCCTGTAACAGGCCGTGGAGGCCCATAGGGTTGTGAGAGGTGGAGGCTCCCACATTTTCTAGACAGTCGGCTCACAGATTGTAGTGATGATGTCAGCCTTACGTGTTGGCCGCCCTTTATCCCCAAGAACATTCCAAAAATATTACTGGTACTAAGTTCTGTTCTCTATGTTACAAGCCGGAAGGTCGCGGGTTCAAGTCCCGATGAGTTCATTGTTCTTTTCAGTTTATCTAATCCTTCCAGCCGCACTATGGCCCTGGGGTCGACTCAGCTTCTAACAGAAATGAGTTCTAGGAATATTCTTGGAATATTCTTGGGGGTAAAGGGCGGCTGGCGCGTATTGCTGACAAATTTGCGCCATCTATGAGCCGATTATCTAGAAAATGTGGAAATCTCAACATCTCAGAACCCTATGGGTCTGCATGGCCTGTTACAGGGATACCATTACTTACTTACTTACTTACTTACTCATTTCTGTTAGAGGCTGAGCCGACCCCAGGGCCATAATGCGGCTGGAAGGTTTAGGTAAATTGAAAAAACAATCCAGCGACCTCATCGGGATTCGATCCCGCGATCTTCCGGCTTGAAGCATGGTGCCTTAACCAACTACGCTACAGCATACCTCTCCACTTTTCAGAACGAATCAAAGATAATCAAAACACAAGAATTTCAGAGAAGAACTAATTGTCTACCTTCCTCTATACTACACGGATCGGATAGAAAACGACGTTTCCAAAAATTCTTTTATTCTTGCATGTGTATTATTTATTGTGATAACGTTTATACAGAGCCGTTGCCTAGCATTGACTGGGGAATGAACATAGAGATACACAGACTGATGGGATTGATGAAGTACGCTTTTAAGATGGACTCAGGTATCATGATATACATACCAAGTTTCACAAAGACTGGTTCAGGCATTCAAATTTGATATGGAGGATACACAGAGACACAGAGAGCATATAAATAATACACGCCTACATATATTTTTAATAAAAATAAGGAAAATAATCTAAGAATGGAAGATATGAGGGTAAGAGAACTTGCTGGAAGGAAAGCTGTAGTTAATGTAAATAAGAAAATCTTCGATTTTAAAACTTTTCATAGTGAAACATTTATTTCAAAATTGGCTTGCACTTGTCTCTGATTTTATGAAGTATAAAAATTGACTCCTACAAAGATATATTGAAACAGGTTTAACGTAGTAGTTATATAATACATACTAAGCTTTCTGTTGTTAATCCTTTAAGAGAATCCTAGTTGGGAGGAAGAACTGAAAGCAAGTAGGATTTTATATAAAATGCTACTAATCAGTATCCAGAAAACTGTCTTGTCTAACTTAGTGGAGCAGTGTCCATCTTGAGAAACTAGTATTGTGGCCACAAACACATACAGGACAACATTAAGAACTCTCTTCTCGAGAGCGACAGGGTGGCGCACGTTCAGCCCCGTCAAAAGAAATAGTAAGAAGGTCGACACGAACCAGCTCGGTTTACGAATTCCAATAGAATCTTAACAAACTAACTATAAATATTTTAACGTATTGGAACAGCCGCCTTAGTTGTAAAGACTTTATATTTTACAGCCAATTTTATATTATTTACATTTTATGTATATATTTTAACTTTTAGAACATGTACTCTAATAGTGGCTTCTAACTGTATTGATGTAAAGGTGTCCCTCTGAAGATGGTCTCTGAAGACCGAAACATGTAAGGGCGTGAATAATTGAAATAAGAAAATCTTAACCAGTCACACTGAACGGAACTATTTAGCTTTTTTATAATATTAGTATGACGGACCAGAATGAAACCAATCAAACTACTTTGAACATTTTTAAGCAGCCTCCCCTTAGCTTCATGACTTGTACTCTTCTTCAAGTATAATTAGAATGATCAAGTCAAGGAGGACGAGATTGGCAGAGCATGGAGCACGAATAGAGGAGAAGAGGTATGCATATAGGATATTGTGGGAAAGTCAGAAGGAAATAGACCACTGGGAAGACCAAGGTGTAGGTGGGTGAACAATAATAAAATGTAACTTAGAGAGATAAGATAGGATGGTATGGATTGGATTGATCTGGCTCAGGATTGGAACAAGTGGAGGGCTCTTGTGAAGACGGTAATGAACCTTCGGTTTCCAAAAAAATATTGGGAAATTCTTGAGTAACTGCAGAATTTTCGACTCCTCAAGAAGGGCTCGGGTCCATGGATAAATAAATAGTCCTCATCTTAGTTCTGAATTTTTTTGTTTTCGTATATTTTGAAACAGAAAAAACACAAAAATACAATTTTGGAAACACGAATAGTTGGACACAGGAGATAGAAAAAAGGGATTCTTTTACTTATTTCTCCTATCATTTTACCCATTAGTCATGGATATAGAGCTCGTATTCCCTAAGACACTAAATGTATTTGTCCCGTAACCTGAGAAGTAAAGAAAGCTGCAGACAGAATCAATAAGCTCTAAGAAGACGATATTTCGAATTTCCTAAGCTCTATGTATCAATGAAGAAGGAGGAAGGACATAACTATTTATTTTCTTGAGAACACTTCAGCTAGAAGTAATTTCAGATACACCAGCCATCAAGCTCTTAGACATAATTTAGAAATAATTTTGTATTCTAAACCATGCGTGTAATCGAAGAATTGAAGAGAATAAATATTTTTGTTTTTATCCGACTCTTTTATATAAGTTAATAAATTGCTGAAGTTGTGAAGTAAGTCAAGGGCTCGCAAAACATGTAAGCATATGATATGAAACTTAACTTCTAAACTGTGAGACAGGCAGAGGATATTTATATTAATAATATAAACGTATTTTTATAATTGAATATGATTTAGATTATACTTGCATGCTTTTCTGTTAACATATAGAAGGAAATGAAAATTGAAACTCTATATTTAACAATAAAGATAATGGACGTAATTATGACACACAGTAACAGAAATTTTATGCACATTACATCCAAAATATTATAACATATACCGAAGGAGGTGCATGCTTATGCTTAATGTTTATTGTTTAGCATTTAGGCCATGTTGGGAAAAGTGGTTTAATTTCAGTTACGTTATTCTGAAAGAAGCTGGCGATGGAAAGGAAAAGTAAATCAAAATGTTCTTCATAGATTATTAGAACGTCTGACAGATTTCTCAAGTATTTCAATCCCTCTTGCATTAGTTGTTTTTAAGTAAGAACCGAACCACATTTTATTCTGGCTGATAACTTAAGAATTCTCACCCCACTGACATTCCTACACTGCACACTGGTTTAAAAATTTAATTCCAGACAGATTAACTTCAAGTTTTCTACTACGTTTTGTCTCTGAAACATTTCAGATTCGTAACGGGCGGAAAATCACATAGGATGGCGAAAATATAATTGCATATGAAAGAGTTCTGAATTTGACAACTCAAATATCGTCCCTGCATTAGTCATCAATTTTGCTGAGTTATAAATGCGTTATACAAAAAAGCAGAGATTATGGACTACTATCGAAAGATCTCAGAAAGTCATCAAAATCAAGTCTGTATTTAAAAATATTCTTTTACGCCATGTCGTATGAAAGATATTACACTATGTGACATTAAATAAGTGAACATGTAATACATAAAGTAATGAATAATTAAATACTCGAAAAAATATTTCCCTGCTTCATTTGCTTGGGACATTCCAAACAGATTAACTTCAAAGATATTCCTTTCCCTTTTCCCAGTTTTATTCACTGTTAATAATAATTGTTTTATCGGCTAAGTCCCAGCAAATCTAGTAGCTGTAGGATATCAAAATACAAGGACAAATAATATGAATTCCATAAATCAATTTTGAAACATACATTATTTTAAGCACATAAATTCCGAATAAATACAGTAGAACTTGGTTATAACGTCATCAAAGGGACCTAAAAATAGTGTTGTTATAAACGAATGTCGTTGTAACCGAAATGGGCACTTCCACAGTAGCCTTATATTAGTCACGTAAAAACCTACCAAAACCGAGTTAAAATGTTGCATTTTTTAGTGAAATACGTAGTTAAGTACAGACTAACGTAACATTAACGTGGAATTGCCCAAATGTGTAATATCAAAGACATATTACAGCGCTTTTCACTGACAATACACACCGCACTAATACTGTGTATTAAAGGTAGGCCTACTCACCAAATTACAGTAGATTACATCAATTGTTGTGCTTTACTGTACCTAGATACGAGTACAGTAATCAGTTATCTTCATCTGTTTCCTGTTACTTGCCCAATACACACTTTCTAAATTACGTTCAATGTCCATATCAGAGAAATTCAGGAATGAAAATGACGTTACATACGAGGTTGATGCATTTGTGCATGTCGTACTAAGCAAGGTATAAAAACAGTTGCTTTATGAGGAATTAGTTCGTACCATTGAATATTGACGCAATAGACAAGGTGTCGCAGAAACCGATGTTGCTATAACCAAGTTTTACTGTAATGAGAAGTAAGTTATGTTATGTGGACATTTAAGGACTTAGCTCCGCCTATCTTTGACGAATTATGTATAAGCCTGCTTACTCTGTATATTTCGGATGTAATACTGAATAAATAGATTTTAATATATTTCCGTTACAGTAGCTATTAAGAAGAGTTTCCGTAGTTTAATTACGGAAATTATACTTTTCGTAAATATTACTGCTGACACAAAGGTTTCTCAAGCATCTGCTCCCAGAAACAATTTGCTTACTGATTATGTAATTCTTACCGTCAGCCATGTATCTGGTTAACTTGTGAATATATTTAATTTGTTTTTATATTTTGGCGATTTTCTTTACACTATCGGGATAATATTTTTCTCACAATATGTTACTCGCTAACAGAAATTTCTACAATTTAACGTCATCTCCCACGAATAACAAGCACAAATTTTTAATCGTAAAGCACGTTTTAATTACAGTACATTCCAGTCTCCTTGTTCACGCTAAAATATTGCTAGTACAATTAGAATTAACACAGTAAAGTGAAACAAAAGGCTATTCTCTCGTTCGTGACTCACTTCATTAAACCCGTTAACGACCGAGAATTTGTGTCTGTGGTAACCTGAATTTGCGTAATTGCAGAGCGGTCATATTGTCACGTTTGTGAGTGACTACAGACGGGGTTTGGATTTATGACTCACTCACACACTCACGACTCCTGACTACATTTTGCAGGTCACTGACACACACAGACTAGTCTCCTCAGTCTATTAGAGTCTCCACTAGCCGTGTCCTGGCAACGGATTTTAACACAGTAACTGTAGTAGTCTCATTGAATTGCACATTCCATATGTCACACATACAAAGTCTTCCCTTTACAGCCGGACAATCATCTGAGCACTCTTGCAACTAACTGGTTACCCCAAACCGTCCCGGTTATAAATTCTTGGCACGGACCACATAAAAAACACAGTTATTCTATTATTAAGTCTGTATTTGTTGCGACAGAGATGTGTGTTACCGCGCCATTTTGTAGCAACGGACGCAACGCGGACCACAGAAAACACGGTTCCTCTGTTTCTGTACCATTGTTTCTTTCGTACCTGTTGTTGCGGGAACATGTTTTATATAGCTTTTCTCGTGTTCATTGCATAGTAACGGTTCTACACGCTATAATATTAAGACCTATTTCTTCTTTAGCCGGTCACGGTAGCCGAGCGGTCTAAGGCATGCACTGTCTTCGCTCGCTCGGAAGCCGGAATCGTGGGTTCGAATCCCACTTAGGATATGGATGTTTGTGTGCGTTTTTCTGTGTTTGTCTGCAGGTAGGGGCCTTGCGACGAGCTGATCAATCGCCCAAGGAGTCCTACCGAATGTGTAAGATCTAGAAAAACCGAAGTGAACGGAAGTTCATGGAGGTAGGCCTAGGCCCACTGGGGCTGTAGTGCTAAGGGGGAAAAAAAATTCTTCTTTAAATGTAGGTAAATCGCAGAAACGGATTATGCTAAGTAAGGAATCGACGAAGAAAAATGTACGTTAGCTTAGGAAACAAAAGAAATTGCATTTATAAAAGATTATCTGTTAGTTGTGACATGGTAATATAACTTATGTGTGATACTTACCATTGTTTGTCTGCTCTTTGTTTTTCTGGTTTTCTTAATTCCGTCTAAATCTCCTGCTACTCTGTGAAAAATGTTCCGCTACAACACGAAATCCACACACCTTTCTTCTTCTTCTTCTCCTCCTCCTCCTCACAACTAGACCATACTGACCCTTAATCTCATAACTGAATATATTAGCAAGCAGACCCTCCTAAAGGAGTTGCACCCTTCCTGGGAATAGTTTGATGTGTCAGAAGCAAGAAAGTAGCTGCGTTTGCAGTGTCTTGAGCTTTCTGCTAGCCAAGCCCCACCTGTTGGAAAAGTTACCGCCCTTCAGAGGCAAAACCCGCTCCCCAACATTTTTAATGTTTCTTGAAGACAGAGAAGAGACACTATAATATTTTATTTGAATTACCTTTTAGACTCTATTCATTTTAAAAAATAGGGTAGTGTGGTGATGAACAGCATTGAGAACTCCCTTTCACGACGCGGTTTCATCTGAAGTATGTTTGAGGATCGTTTTCTTGGTATTATAATCTTACAGAACCTTAGAGTTGATGCAGAACGAGTTAGGAATGTACAGATATGCAAAGTCTGAGACTTGTGGGAAAAGCATTATGTACATAATTATACCATGACGTATCGACCCACTGCTAGGCAACGGCTCGATAATCACGTTCCCGCGGATAGAGATTCTTGGTAAGCAGCCAGTTGCTACGTAGAGCCTATAACAATCCGCGACAACGAATACGCAGGCAATAATCGGATAATTTTCGTTGCTATGCGACGCGCTCTATATACAATAATAGAGGAAGTGGTGTTTCCTATGTGGTCCGCATATATACATTGAGGTGCAACGGCTGCATTTTGTATGGGTCAGCCTAGACTATACATAGTATAAGTGATACAGAACCGGAACAAAACAGAATTGAGAGAATGAGCACACAGGCGTACAACGGAGTTGTCCCGCGAAAAGGCATGGTGTGTGCTGTGGCTGCAATGAGACTTATAAATCCGTTGCCAGGATACGACTGGTGAAGACTGAGAAGACTTGGCGTGTCTTAGTGGTTTGTGAAGTGAATAGATTATCAATAGCGCTATAATTAAATTTGAATGAAAGAGATTTTGTAAAAAAGCGTCAATATATCCAATCATCCAACCCAGATCCCGTTATTGTTAGTCACGGAATCTCGGACACATAAAAGTACTTTTCATTTCCCTTTAAAAATTTGATTCAAAATATATTTTTTTTTCCTTCCGATATACTTTCGGGAAATTTGACACTAGATGTTTGCAGTAATGTGTGCGCTATTTGTATCTTCGTGTCTAGTGTCAGTTATTGTTGTGTGATTTTGAACAAAATATGGAAGTGTCAACAAATTTTTGTAACACCCTTAAATAATTGCAGAATTTCATGGAAATGTATTCGAGGTTTCTTTTGTTTCTACTTGCGGACTGCCTGAGGGAAACAAGTGGCTAAGTTGGTAATCGTGTTTTCACAAATTGCAGTTTGCGAAAGCAACGAACAGAAAATACTCGTATCCTGTGAGAAAACAAAAACAGATTTGTAGAAAGCAGTCTTCTGGGATGTGGTGCCGTGTAGATATTGTGTTAACCGACGTTTCGGAGGAACGTACCTCCTCCATCTTCAAGGTAGAAGAAAAAAGTAGATGGAGACGATACTTTCCTCCGAAACATCGGTTAACACCACATCTACAAGGCGCCACCTCCAAGAAGACTGCTTTCTTCATAGTCACCGCCGTGAAAACCTCAAATCTTACAAAAACAAATTTAACAAATTGCACTTAACATGTCTGTAAATCACGGGATATTAGAGTTAATAACGAGAAATTCCTTGTAATATGATGCGATAAAACCACATTCCACGAACTTAATGACTGTACCACGTAGTATATGAACTTGCATATATTTATTTGTCAATGGAAAATAGGCCAGGTATACAATCAGAAATTTGACTTTATGTAACAATTAATGCCTGCATGCATTAAATCATTGGCCTATGCATATTATATTCCGTAAATATTATTTGATATAAGACATTTATTTTCCTGAAAACATTTTACACCTAAACAAAAATAGGACCTATACTAAATTTATATCTCAACATAATCCACTTTCATTCAATTTTAACACAATAAAGGCACAGATACTTTCCGAAAACGTGTAACGTATATCCAGAACATACCCTATTTAATATTTATGAAAAAGTTTTTAAGAAGATGTATGCATTAAAATAATATCGAAATGATCTGAAACTACAAAATTTTAATTCTCTTTAGTTCCGCATGATCAAAAGACTTAAACTCTTATTCAGAGTGTGCACATTTGGTTTTGGTGAAAAAAATAACATAAGAAAGCAGAAAATTAGGAGACACAAAATAGATAACTTACAGTCCAGTGAGACACACAAGTTCACCACACTTCTGTCTTCACTCGCCTTACATGTTTCGATTCAATAGAATCATCTTCAGAGGCGTACCAGTACGAGTAGGAAACACTGTCACATAAG